TACAGAAAGACTCTACAAGCTTTGACGAAACGCACTTCTTTCAACTTACTGCAACCCATCTAACCTTCCCAACACCGCGACCATGCCGATCATCAATCTTGGACCGTTCGGACGCTACCGTCTCTCAAAGCTACACGACACAGCCGAACAACAAAGTCTACTAGAGGATAAAAAATATTCAAGAACTGGTGGCACTGCCTCAAAGTCACTACCTTCTTATACATCACAAGGTGAAAATTGCGTGCCTCTGGGCTTGCCACCGAAGGAAATAAGACACTGCGCTCCTCCCAAGGCTCAAAAGCCAAATAGTCAAGTTCAGCAGCTGCAGCGATACATCCTCGAAATCCTCGCGATTACTTTCTCCGCAAATTTCGACACGCTCAACAGGGCTCTCCAGGATTCAACATCAGAAGGCACTACTACAATCCTCTGCGACGAAGAGCGATCGGAGCTTCTGGCGCTATCGGGTCTTGTACGCAAATGCCACGATCAGCTACATCGCGTTCCGGAAATTCGTATCGAGGCCAAAGACGAGATGACACTAAGCGACAAGATCTCCCAGCCCGGTCTGCAACTAGAGTACAACCTGAGCGAGTACGCCTTGGAATTGATAGAATGGTACGGATCCTACACTCGTGCGTGTGGGAATAGCCACAGCTGGCAATACACGATACCTGGCTATTGGGAGAAGAACCCTACGATGGGTTTCAACAATCTCAAGGAAAGCATGCGTACGTTCTCTCTGATCATAGAGCACACGGCGCCTAGCCAGCATGTTTTCGACATTCTGCACGAAGCATGGGATGTCTGCCGAGAAAATCGCGGACTCGAATGCGAATACGAATTCCTAAGGAGCAGCAATCCGATCTACTGGGCTAGACGGAACGGATATCATCTCATGGGATCGATTCTGTCGCTGTATATAACGACGCTTGAAGTTGCGGGCAACGCGCCGGTGAGGCCGCGATTTCTGTGCGGAAAGCCACCGCGATTCCTGTGGAAAGCCACCTGGGGAGGAGGTGGTCGGTAATGGATATTTTTGAGTACAATAGATCTGCTGCCAAGCAGCCTTCATAAAACGCCGATCAAATGTAATACATGCCACTAGAATTTTATGCTCACCTCATACATGAAAAGACTGAACCAGGTCTGAACACTACATGGATAACACGCAGAGTGGGGGATCCAACATCAATGTAGGCTCCGCGCTCGTCGCTAGGTTAACAGTCTATGCCGTTACAGTCCCCCATCTCCTTCTCCAAAACCTCCAACCCCACATCCAACGTACTAATACTCAACAACGTCGCCAACTCCAACACCTCCATAATCTCCTCCTTCGCACCCCCATAGTTCAACACATTCCGCATATGCAGCTTCAACCCCGGTTTGTACATATGCGTCGCCGCCGCATCGAACGCACAATATATCAGCTCCTTTACTTTGGGTTCAAGCACGCCCTTGCCCCCCTCATTCGTCCACGGCACAGAACTAAACTCCGTATACGCGTCGAAGAAATCAGGTGCGATGAGCAGCATTTCTTCCCATAACGCGTTCCAGTACCCGCGCTTCGTCTCGAAATCCTGCTTTAGTGCGAGTTGCTGCGGGCTCATGTTCGCCATGCCTTTGGGTATGGCTTCGCCGCGCTCCTCGAGGACTTCGAAGAGGATTGGGATGCCGACTGTGGAGGCGTGGATGCCGAGGGTGGATGTGAGACACAGTGTTTCGACGATTTCGGCGCGGGAGGCGCCTGCGGATAGGGCGGCGCGGGTGTAGCGATGGATGTTGGGGACGTGGAGGTGGGTTGATGATGCGCTTACGGCGAGGGAGATTAGGGATTGGATTTTGGGTGATAGGTGGCTGCTTCGCTTTGGTATGGCTGTTAGGCGGAGCGATGCTGCGAACATCTCGGGTGAGTGCTTGAGCATCCGCGCCCAGGACTCATCGTAGGCTGCGGAGCCGAGCTCGGTGTCGAAGCGCTGTTTTAGGCGCTGTTGGTCTGGTGAGAGAGACATGCTTTGTGGTGGGATGAATCGTTCAACTCAGGGTTTTAGACACAGATAAAGACGTGAATGGCATAGGTGGAGTTTGGGTCACTTAAACCACCAAGTCATTTGCTTTCAATCACGGCGGAACAAATAAGATCTCGACTTTGAGACAGGAGCGCGTGAAGTACACAATTGCTAGTTCCGAGGATTTAGTCTGCATTGTCCTGCCTGCCGCCCCTCAGCCGCGTATTCCGAGTTGGTCGATGATGGTGGTGAGCAAGCAAGCCCCACATTTCCCCAACTCTGCCGTGTGGGGAAGCGCAGGGATCAGCACACCACCCGGTGGCCGAACGAGAAGGATTACAGCTGTAGCGAGTAATCTGGGATTCCCCATACTGCGAGTCGACAATGTGGCATGTGCGAGAGGCGGTCGGTATACCAATATCCTGTTCAGAACAATTGCTAGGTCATGTCTTGAACGCTAACGACTAACCATCCATGCTTTGCTCCGCGCCGAAGAAGCGCGTCTTGTTCTTTGGATCGCTTTCCCACTCGACGTCGTGTGCAAAGATGATCTCGACGCCGTCTCTCTCTAGGGCTCTGATTCTGTCAATCGTCGCCTCAGCTTGCTTTCTGTCAGCATGTATACAACAGACTTGTCCATGAGCATCGTTCCACTCTCCAATTGTTTTCTCTCCGGTCAACAGTCGTCTGTCGTGACATGCATCTCCGCCCATGTAAATTTGGTGATCAGGAGATGTCCGAGCAAGAAGATTGATGTGCCCTGGTAGATGGCCGGGTGCGTCGACGATGAGCAGTGAGCCGTCATTGAAGACATCCAAAGTCTGAGGGAGGTTTCCGTGCGTTTGCCAGGAACCACCGAAGTTGACATCGCCCGTCGCCCTGCATGAGTCGTGCTTCGTCAACACGTTTGCCGAAGGTTCCGACAGTCCAATGGTCCGCTCTTCTGGCAGAAGATCACTTTCGAAGAAAGAATGGCCACCGCGCAAAGACGACGATGTGCCATTAAGCAAGGCAAGTGAGCCATGACCGACGACGAACTTAGATGTGGGAAAGTCTCGAGGTTCGCCAATATGATCCCAATGCACCTGCCGTAGCCACGTTACTTACCGTCAGTAAAGCGAGGTCGTGTGACTTACGTGCGAATAGATCACATAATCGATATCCTCGGGTGCTAGCCCGCCTCTCGCGAGGCTTTTGGTGACGTCCGGATCGGTACTCATTGGTTGCCTCGTCTCGACATGCTTTTGTATTGGTGGCGCGTATCTCTTGATGTCTCTCCTCAGGCCTAGATCGAACACGATTCGTGTCGTCTTCTTAGTGTTTTGATTGTAGTGCTGTATCAGAAATGCTAACGAAGGTACGGTCCGGCGTGCATCTCGACTAACAGGGTGTACGAATTGGTACTCTGGAAGAGAAAACTGACCACACGATAACGCGTGCACAGTGACAACGGCCGCCGCTGCATGGTCGGACTGCTTTTGCGAGACAATAGCAGACATTTTTCAAGGATGATGGAGCTTTTCGTAGATGATGTTGTCTCAAGGTTGCAAGACTATGGCTGTTGAGAAGGATAGCCTCAGGTGGAGATGGCACGTGAGATCATCGTTCAGCCTACCAAAGTACCTATGGGGGTACTAGGAGTTGGCGAAAGAGTGGGCAGGATTAGTGCGTCGTTATCCGTTGGAGAAATCTCTACCCCGCTTCACCAGCCGCGGCACGCTCACGACGCGTTCTGATGGTTGTGTTGACGTGACTTGTTTCCCAAAATTTCCAGGTCTCGTATACACACCAACTTCCTACTCGACGTTAGCTCTCTGTCGTTCCTGAAAGTACTCTCGGCTTCAAGTCAATCCCCTACCTCTACCTGGCACACGCATTCGTCATGACGCATTCGCACGAGTTTAAAAAGCTGGGCTTCATCGGCCTCGGGGCTATGGGGAAACCAATGCTTTCTCATCTTGCCAACAAGTTGCCTGAGGAATCGCGCATTTGGGTTTATGATGTGGTCGAACAGATGGTAGACGATGCGTGTGCAGAGTTTCCTGGTCGAGTCTTGAAGGCAAAAAGCGCCAAAGACGTTGCGCAACAAGTCGTGAGTCTAGACGCCATCGTGCGAAAATGGCAGCTAACGACGTGCCAGGACACAGTTGTAAGCATGGTGCCTGAAGGTGCACATGTACGATCCGTATATCTCGACCCCCAAAACGGCGTATGCAGCACCGACATCTCGAACAAGCTGCTCATCGACTGCTCGACAATAGACACGGCAACCAGCCTCGCTGTGAAGGACCACGTTGCCGCTGAGTTTCCCTCTGCGTCGTTCTATGACTCTCCGGTGAGTGGCGGCGTAGTGGGAGCCATCAAAGGCACGATCGCATTCTTTCTAGGGTGTGCAGAGTCGGACCCAAATCTTGAGCGCCTCACATATCTGATGGGGTTGATGGGTGGGCAAGTGATACCTTGCGGGGGTCCATCCCTTGGGCTTGCAGCGAAGCTGTCGAATAACTACCTATCGGGTATCATCGCCATAGCTTGCTCTGAGGCTTTCGACATGGGAATGCGCAGCGGACTGGATCCCCGCACTCTGGCCAAAGTATACGCTGCGGGTACTGCCCAGAACACGATTTGCGACAAGTTTTGCCCTGTCCCACATGTATACCCCGAAGCCCCGTCCTCAGGAGGCTGGAAGCAGGGATTCAAAGTGCAGCTGATGCGCAAAGACTTCGGTTTGGCAGTTGATATGGCGAAGCGAGTAGGGTCGAGAAACGTATTGGGTGACGTTGGACTACAGACATACGATGGGGCAGCCAACGATCCGCGTTGTAGAGACCTTGACTCGCGGGTGGTGTATCGCTACCTCGGTGGCCAGGAAGACTGGCAACCTAAATCGAACGGCGCGTGAGCAGCAACTTGGGCCGTGACACCCCATCGTCATCATACCCGATGTCGCTGGATCTCGATGTGCTGTGTGTGACTAGTCGCATTAGCGCCATGTTGAAGTTGGAGAAGGTTGGGGATGCTTGGGGTAATGCCGAGGGCGGGCAACCGTGGGATGAAGCTACTATCGCGGGGCAAGCATGCCAGTCTTGTTAGCTTTTTACAGTGCTAGTACTACAAACGCGCAGTAAAAAGACTATCGTCATTCTCATCCTGTGAATTCGTCTTGAGATAGACACCCTCTTTCACGTCAAAGCCGCAACAGCTGCCATCGCACCTCGAAGCAACCGACCGCCAGCATGTCGACCGATCCGAAGCTCGACGAGCTACACAAGCAGCTCTTCGATGAAGGGCTGAAGATGAGACGGAGTGTGGTGGGAGATGAATACGTCAATCGCGCGCTGGAGAACGGGTCCACTGAGTTCTCACGAGCCGGACAGGAGCTCGTCACCGAGATGTGCTGGGGATACGCTTGGACACGTCCAGGTCTCGACAAGAAGCAGAGAAGTCTGATCAACATCGGCATGCTCATGGCACTCAATCGCGCCCCCGAGCTTGCTGTGCATGTGCGCGGGGCGAGGAACAATGGTCTTTCCGAGCTTGAGATCCGTGAAGCCATCATTCACGCCACAACATACTGCGGTGTGCCGGCTGGGGTCGACGCGATGAAGACAGCTGAGAAGGTCCTGAATGACATGGCCGAGAAAGGCGAGATGCCGCGAGAACTGGGCGAAAGGAGCAAGAAGGCGTGAAGATTGTTGGCTTGTGACGATGGACAGAAGACGCGTCGCGTCGCGTTGGACTGTGGCTGGGGCAAGTGGCACCCGGGATCATCCGGCCCGGGCAGGGACGAGTTGTTCGACAGTGATCGTAGCAATACCACCATTCTCCATACCTTGCGTCTGCGCAAAAGTGTCAAAACAACATCTTCCACCTTATACATTCTATCAATATGCGTGCATCCCGGGCTGTGGGTACATGTCACACGTGTGATTGGTGGCTTTCCCACCTCTTCCCAGCACCCCGCATGTGAACCGTCGCGTCCCCGCGCTTCATTCCTTTCCCCACAATCTCACGACCCGACTTCGTGAAACACGACTTGCAGTCTCCAAACTTCGTCTAAGTGCTCAGGCTGCTCCAAAACTCGGCTATCGCCTGCTAAGCCGGTCGCAATTGGGCCCTGTGTGAGCGAAAGCGTCGCGATTGGTTTGATGGAAGCCGGTACCAGTGAAGAGCAGGTCCCGCAAGCTCAACCGGGGAAGAAGGAAAAGCGATTCCAATGTCCACACTGCCAACGGGCCTTTGCTAGGCTGGAGCATCTCCAGCGTCATGAGCGCATTCGTAAGTCGTGCGACTCGCGTCGTAAGCCAATTCTAATATGCGTCAAGATAGCGGTGTGAAGCCCTTCAGCTGCGCAGCATGCAACTATTCATTCACACGCAGGTATGATACGTTCGGCGTCGTTTATGGTAGCAGCTAAAAACTCAATCCAAGTGACCTACTCGTTCGTCATGAGCGACTCACTCATCGCAAAGAGCAGAGTGCACAGCAAAATCACCAGCATACTCCCGCTGGGGATACATATGGCTCGGTCGAGACTCGGCCGCACAAGCGCATGCGGTCAAGTTTCGATGCTGGACGTCCAGTGCCCGAAATACCCAGTATGATGTCCTCGCCTGCTGTTCTGGACATGCAATCGTCGCAACAACAACCCGCAATGTCACACGCCTCCATGACCTTCGGGCACAACAGCCCCTACTCTTTGACAGCCTTGTCCATGGCTGCCGAGTATCAAGCTCTTCAAGGTAATATGGCAAACAGCTCCGCTCATGATGCGATGCCAACCCCAATGCCTTCGCATGCTGGCACGATAGCCGCGAGTGTTGAAGGCCCACACTCAACCATGCTCACGGAGCCGTCTGCTCATAGCTATGAGTCGACCTTTGGAGAGTCACTGGACAGTCTCACTTCATTCCTTGACAGTGAACCACTAAACTCGTACCACTTTGCGTCCCTAATCAACACCGAACAGCCCATGCCGTTCTTCTCTCCAGACTCATTTGGCTACGGTCAACAAATGGTGACCGAGCCAGAGGGAACAACAGCACCTACACATGGGTGGAGACCAACACAATTAGACGAGCCGCCGTCGCTTTCACGCTTCGGCTCTCGTTTTCCTTCCTTGCAGCCAGACGATCAATCCGCTCGGAAACGATCGTTTGCAGATATCTCACACGAGGATCGGCAGGAGATTCTCGAGATGCTCCAACCCTTCTCCATGGTCATACCCAGCGACTTCGTTCTACCAACTCGATTAGCACTGTGCAGATATATTGCTGCGTACATCAACGGATTTCACGAGCACATGCCGTTCCTTCACATACCCACGATGTCCGTGGAGACATGTTCGATAGAGCTGCTCTTAGCATTGGCGGCTATCGGTGCGCAATACACTTTCGAGGGCGAAAAGGGTGTCGAGCTGTTCAACGTAAGCAAAGCAATTGCGACGCACCGTATCAGGAAACGGGACACGCGCCTGGTGCAGCTCCAGCATCATTCTGAGTCGGATCAATCGTCGCCCCACAATCATCCGAGCGGCCCTCGTAGCCCTCAACGTAAGGGTTCCGTCTCGGGACCGCTGGGCCTACCTTCCCAGGCTGATGTTCCCGTACTTGGCGAAGATCTCATGCAGACCGCTCAGGCACTACTCTTGCTCATGGCACTGTGTACTTGGGCCAAACACAAAGAGATCCTCAGAGAGGCGTTAGCAATCCAAAGCATCTTAGCTACCCTCATTCGGGATGACGGACTCGAGACCGAACCTCTCCATGAGACCATCTCATGGTCGGACTGGATTCGGCGCGAAACGATCAAAAGGACCAAGTTCATCGTCTATGGCTTCTCCAACCTCCATTGCATTGTCTACAACATTCCTCCGTTCATGCTAACGAGCGAGGTCAAGTTGCCCTTGCCATGCAGTGCCGCAGAATTCAAGGCACCTACGGAGGCTTTATGGAGGGAAGCGAGGAAGAAAAGTGCGCCTGAAGTCCTGTTCCAGGATGCATTGAAACGTCTATTTACAAAGCAAGGCCGCGATGTTACCGAGGTCAACTCGTCGTCTGGAAACTACGCGTTGATACACGCCCTGATACAGCATGTTTTCTTCCTCAGACAAGTGGCACGATGTCGTTTTGAAGGACCCGGTGATCTGAGCGCAGAAGATGTCGCGTCGCTCGAGAACGCTTTGCGAAACTGGCAGACCGGATGGCGCCAGAACCCTGAATCATCGCTCGACCCGATGTCGCAGAACGGTCCCGTCGCTTTCAACTCAACTGCCTTGCTTCGATTGGCATACATACGACTATACGTAGACACCGCAGGTCGAGCTTTAGAGACGCGCGACCCTGTGCTGATTGCCAATGCCTTCCGCGCCGGGCCTACGATCAGGCGCTCGCCAAAGATCACAAGAGCTGTGCTCCACTCAGCTCATGCACTCTCTATACCCATCAAGATCGGCTATCGTCTCGTGGCAAAGACACAATCGTTCATCTGGAGCATTCAACACTCCTTGTGCACGCTCGAGTGCGCCTACCTCATGAGCAAGTGGCTTGAAGCGCTGTCGGTACCAGAAGCAGACCCACCCGTCACAGAAGACGAGCACAGGATCATTGCGATTGTGAAAAGCATGTTGGATGAGACCGAGTTTGCCGTACCCGCCGATATTACGCCCGACTCGCCCAACTTTACACGACATCTCAGCGCGGGGGTGCTCAGGGTCTGGGCGATGATCTTCAAAGGATCTCAAACTTGGGCTATCGTGGATGTTATCGGGAGCTCTCTCAATCTGTATGCGGATATGCTAGAGTCTGGGTGAGCAGATTTATGAAGATGGTCTGGTTCACCAATAACACGCAACGACTTCTGTGGACTTCAGCCGAGACATTTGGCTTTCCCGGTGCAAAGCAGGGTTTAGCATCGAATGAAATCAAGCCTCGCATCAACAACCCAGATTAGGTAATAATCCAGCTGCATGGTTCGCGCTGGAAATGCGAGATTAGACGATCGAAGCATATAAGAGAGTGTCCCTCGCGAGCAGCGCCCGTTGATGGATACTGGGCTCCCAACGTGAGATGACATTCGAGCGATGCGGCCGCCGTTCGAAATCAGCTTTGATAACCAGAAACATTCTTTGAACACATCATGAATCAGCAAGATTTACTCCGATACTCTTACTCCACTATGGCCGAACAACGTTCCGAGCGGTTACGGGACACACTCCCCAAAATTCCAATAGCCTCCACTTGTGCAGTCGACCAACAAGAGACGTGTCGAATCAGGAATAGTCAAGCGGCAAGCTGAATCGCAGTTAACTCACGAGAAGCGGCGTGGAAGAAAATCCGACGGCCGCGTGGGCTTGAAAGAGTGGTGAAAGATGTCGAAAGTGCAGCCATCAAAGGCAAGAAATAAGACAGAAAACGTGACGTGGTGGAAACATCGGAGCTTGATCTATCCTGAAGCAACATGGGCGTGTTAGGAGTTCAGGGTATTACCAAGCAGAAGCAGGAATAGAACTTTGTGTCTCTTCACCGGAAGTACGGGGGTCGGTCAGCCCACTGTTATGGGTGCGCATCGAAGGAGCCCTACTTTCAGGACCGGCACTGCTACTTCCGCTATGGAGCTTGTTGTGCGAAGCAAGACGTGGAGTTGACGAGGCGTCCGACAAGTTTCGGAGAGGTTGTCGCTGCAATCTAGTCCACACGTCCGTTTGGGGTGTGTGTTGCGGAGGATACAGTCACACGTCAGTGTCACTGTCAGCAGAAATCCCAGCGAATTCGATGTGGATGCGTTTCAGGTGTTTCCGGACATTACACGCGCCTTGGTGGTGTCGAGATAGCTGCCCAACCACCAATTGACATGGAGGCGTCACCTGGAGGCTTTGCAACAGCAGCTTGGCGGTAAGATAGAGGCGCCCATCTTCGAGCAACTTATCCATGCGAGATAGTATTAGTCGATGAGACATGATCATGGCTCGTCGTGCTTGGCCAAGGGCAGAGCTGTAGCTTAAAACCCCATCGACGAATTTAGACGGTGCTGACGACGAAGAGCCGTGTGCTCTCCTATAGGTTCGTCACTAGCACAGAGTTCTTCAATCTATGGGCGAGTTAACAGCTTTCGCATACCCTACCTCAAACAGCGTGGGTGCTCAATCCAACTGCATGCCGCGCCGTCATTCGTGAGTGCAGTTAATTACCGTGCTGCCGGGCGTAATGTGCAAGGTTCTGTCCAACTGCATATCGGTTAAGACAGTGGCGCATCGGCACGGGGGCAAGCCCTATCCTCGGGTTGGAGTTGCAACCGATGCGCATATTCGGTATGTCTGACATAAGCAGCGTCTGTACATGCAGTGGAAATGGGCATGATGTGAGGCGGCATGTATGGATGGATATTGTATTTGTCTGGCGGCGTGCATTGTTGTTGTCCAGCAGTAGATGTCTCCTGGTGGTGCGGTGACAATGTCCCGGGTCTGTGTTGATCACGACGCATTGTCGGTACAAGCAAGTCGATAATCGTAAACACGGCGGCTGATTGTATTGACATCTACTCAAGTCGCTCTACCGGTATCTTGAACTCTTGCGTGATTTTGGTCATGTTGTTGACCACTACGAAAGGAACGAGAGTTAGTACAAGGCCTGCATGTGTACTATACGTGCTACTTGCGGTCATCAACGTCGACTGTCTGCTGATTGCTTCCCTTTGGAGCACCCGAGGTGGAAGCATCCGTCTTCGGTGGGTTGGTGTCGATTTGAATAGTGACCTAGCAATGTCCATTAGCATGAGCAGGCAAAGCGGCACACACTCAGGAAATGTCATGCTTAAGTTGTACCTCGCCATCTAGGCAGGTATAATCCAAACCTACCGGCCCATCGTTAACCAAAGCAACATCCATCATGGCGGCAAAGAGTCCGTCTTTGACCTTGTCGGACTCATAGAGAGATCCGACCTTCTTGAAGAAGGCTTGGTATAGTGTCTTGGCTTGGTCGCCGTTGGCGGATTGGTGGAAATCCGGCTTGTTTCCCTTCTTCATAGAGGCCAGTAGCGTGAATTGGGAAACTGTCGACTTTCAGCACACCGATTCCACAGCAAAAGCACTGTCGTTGACAGCCAAGAATCCCAGAGTGCGTTTCACACATACCACACAAAACCTCGCCATGGATATCGGTCACGTTGCATTTCCACTTGACATGTCAGTCTCAGCCGAGAGAAAAAGCATCGGCTTCATACGCGGCCCGGCGGGTCCTTGGAAGCGTCGTCCCAGAGCTTGGCCTTGAGTATCTTGCTAGCCATGGCCTCAACATCCTTCTCCGTGTCGTCTTTGGAGACGGCAGCAAGGACCAGCAAGCCCTTGCCAATCGAGGAGATCAACTGGCCATCGACCGTGACTGATGCCGACTTGACCCTCTGCAGCACCGCTAGACACGCTTAGTATAGTCGTGGTTACGTGTGCATGAGGCGGGGTCCGTACTCCTCATGATGGCGGGGTAGCAGCGTGGTGAGAGAAACTTGGGTGGCTCAATGTGCGATAGCCTCACGGTGATATGTGCAGCAGCGCAACGACGTCACGCATGGGAATTGCGACATGCGACAAGTATGAGACGGGGCTGGAAGAGGGTGGAACGCGTAGATGAAACCAGACGCGTGGGGCCAATCGTGGTGGCTAGTGGCCGCACTCTTGGCGAAGACGCTAGGCCAGCCCTGTGGCATCGCGTTACCTATGCGATACGTCCGCCTCCGCATTCAGCCCACGACAAACATCCACGCCATTCCCCGTCGAACGCCCTCACTCGCGCGATTCGACTGTCCCACGGCCGCTGCCACCCCCGGCGACGCAATCATTGCCGTAACCACCGCGAAAGTCCTCACGACGAGGCTCGACCCTCGCCATGGCCGCCCGCAAGCTCCAGCAGGAGATCGACAAATGCTTCAAGAAAGTCGCCGAAGGCGTCGCGACGTTCGAGAACATATATGAGAAGATCATGCAGACGGGCAACCCCTCGCAGAAGGAGAAGCTCGAGGACCAGCTGAAGAAGGAGATCAAGAAGCTGCAGCGCTCGCGGGACCAGATCAAGACGTGGGCCGCCATGTCCGAGATCAAGGACAAGAAGCCGTTGCTCGACCACCGGAAGCTCATCGAGACAGTAGGCTGACCGCCGCCTCCCGGCATGATGGGACGCTGACATGTGACAGCAAATGGAGCGCTTCAAGGCCGTCGAAAAGGAGATGAAGACGAAGGCATACTCCAAGGAAGGCCTGCAATTAGCGTCCAAAATCGACCCCAAGGACAAGGAGAAGATGGAAATGGTCGAGTTCCTGCAGCAGATGAACGAGGAGCTGGAGCGCCAAATAGAAACCATCGAGACCGAGATCGAGACATTACATGCCAACGTCAAGAAGACGAAGAAGGGCGACAATTCCAAGGCAGAGCGCGTGGCAGAGCTGGAAGAGTCGGTCGAGCGGAATAAATGGCATCAGGGCAAGCTGGACCTGCTGCATCGAGCGCTGGAGAATGGCAACGTCGAGACAGAACAGGTCAAGGAGATTGAGGACAGCATCAAGTACTACGTCGAGAGCAATCAGGACCCCGAGTTCATGGACGACGACACAATATACGACGACTTCAACCTGCAAGAGGAGGAGGCTATCTTCGGCCTGGGCGAGAATCTGGACCATGTGTCTTCACACGAGTCGCAGTCGATAGCAGACGACACACCCGAGTCGGACGTGCGACCGCCAGCACCCAAGCCGAAAGCGACAGAAGCAGTACAACAACAGGCACGACGACCCTCGACACAGATGAAGTCACCATTACCAGCTCTAGCAACATTGCACACGCCGTTACCTGGCGTCTCAAATACCACGGCCAACGCGATGAAGCCCGCACCGATACCGACAAGGACGCCGGGCGAGCCCTTGAAGTACGCCTCGGCCGCCGCTGCTGCAGCCGCGAGCGATAAGAATGGAGTGGGCATTGCTCCTCTGCCACCACCACCGGGAGGGGCCGCAGCACAGTCAGGCCTCATTCCTGGCGGCGCACGGGCAAGTGCAGCGAATTCCCCGGCAATAACACATTCCCAACTGGCCTCGCGCGCGCAGCCAGCCGAATCCGCACAAGCATCGCCAGCTCCCGCGGCAAGTATACCCGTGACGCCTGCTGCGGAGAAGGAGACCCTTTCGCGCGCCGTCTCGTCGGAAGACGCCTCGAAGTCCAGCAGAAGGACACCAGCTCCCGAGCCTGTAGAGGAGGAAGAATCATCGGCTGCCACCCCGCCGCTAACGAACGGTGATTCCCATGCAGAAGAGGAGGAAGAGGAATCAGTGTATCATCTACCGTCGAGCCTACAGGACCTCCTGGACACCTTCGAGGCGACCAAGAACGACATATCCGCCTCTGCCTCGAAACCTCCAAATGAGCACATGCTAGCAGCATCCATGGCCACCGCGCCGGACTCTGCGGATACTGAGGCGCCGCGCCACTACCGACCCCAGAATCCCTATCCGTTTACGCCCGCGCACTACCCGCAAGAGCCGTTACCCATCTTCGATGATCCTCGCTTGTACTCCCGCATCGAGACCGACGCTCTCTTCTACGCCTTCTACTACCGCCAAGGCACGTACCAGCAATACCTGGCTGCAAAGGCACTCAAGTCGCAGAGCTGGAGATTTCACAAGCAATATCAAACATGGTTCCAACGCCACGAAGAACCAAAAGCAATCACTGAAGACTACGAGCAGGGGACGTACCGCTTCTTTGACTATGAAAGCACATGGTAAGCACCTAATTCTGTCCACCAGCCCTACGCGGGGCTGCCGTATTACAAACTCGCGCCACGCCGTGCTATTTCTGCACGTCATACAGTGCTAACCTTATTGCAGGATGAACCGTAGGAAAGCTGACTTCCGATTTGCCTACAAGTTCTTGGAAGATGAGCTATGAGCAGTCGGCTGCTTTCTTCTTACCGACCCGCATGCTCGGCTTGGGGTGATTGAGTTCTGTATTAAGATTAAGTATTAGGTAGTCCTGGAATGGGTCCCGTCGAGGGCACACAACTTTTGCTCTTCGGATCTTGAATCGCTTCCATCAGGGTTTCTTCGGTGCGTATTAATGTCCGCCCGCAGGCACCCGACCGACCACGCGAGGTGTATGTCACGGTGAGACAATTATGCATGGATCAAATAGCACTTATTGAGGCTCACCTGCCAAGTGCAGGCCCTCCGCCCGCGACAATTTGGCCGTCCAAGGATGTTGTAGCGGTCTGAGCGCCGGGCGTAATCTGACATGATGTGGCTAACGGCTGCGGAATGTGCTCAATTGGTCCAGACGACGTTACACTGGGTTCCGCCCCCAATCGGTGGAGCCTACAGGGCTGCAGGAGGAGGCTGGTCGCATGTCACTGGCCGCCTAAGCGAGGAATCCTTCCGCGACGTTCAAGCTTCAGTTACGCCCCGTTACGCCCGGCAGCACTAACTCGTGCATGACTTTGAGTTGAGCGGTTACTGCATCAATCATTTTACGGCATTCGTGCGCCGGTCCAAGTCCATCGGGTTGCGGGTTAATTGACCCACTTACAGCAGCAGCAGAGACAGACGAAGACCAGACGCGAAATGGGCGTTTGATGACGGCTAACCTACTTGGAGACGGGCGGTCAAGCAATGTTTGATCTCAATGCGTTTCGAAGGCATGCTGTCATCACAAGTGCTCTGATAGTTTCGAGCGATCAAGCGGTCGGGTGCGTTACCGAGAGCCAGCTGGAAGAGCCTGGAGTATCGCGAAACGACCATGTCAAACATGATAGACCTCAGGCCGATCGCTAGGCTCCAGGCCACGTTCTGCAGCGTAGCAGGGGTTCGTTCCTACACCGCGGAACGAAAGTACGCGAACAAGAGCCACGCATGCACATCCAGTCACACGGGGCCCATCGACCTACCCGCATGTGTGTTAATCGGTGAACCATGCCTATCATATATCCCGGTACACCAAGATCAGAACACCAACGTGTACGCATTGGACTATTCTAGCTATTTGCCTTGCCAAGCCATGACAACGACAAATGAAAGAGATGGTACAGTTCAATTAAAGTTGGATCGGGGCCTAGGGGTACTCGCCCTGCATCGCCATAAGACGACACAGATCTACCAGTGTCCTCGTTGTGCTTCCTACCTCTACACCTAGACCACTATTTCACCGCCTCAATTCTCCCACAGCATACGACAACATTAGGCCTTTTGATTCACCCGCGCCGCGACCAGACCCTACAATACCATTTTCCGGTGACAACTAGTGTCCGTGCCGTCGTCAGCCCTATACCGATTAGTTGTGTGGGGTACCACCAAGCTGGTACTGGCTTCGCCTCGCCATCCTACGCATCCACCTCAGCAATCTTGGACTTCTATATTCACACATTTGGCCTCTGGCGTAGCAGTCCTTGTACAAGGAGATCGCAACGCTTACCAAAGACGCGATCGTCAAGCCCTGTCGAGCGAATCCACAACCTGATCCGACTTCTCGCCTTACGACACTTCTAACTTTGTTTCGTCATCGCCATGTTGGCACACTACGGCCCTCAGGGAGATGGCTTTGGGCGCCCGGACGGTTCATTCCCTCCGAAATACCTGTGAGTCGATGCGGTTCTTGAGGGTCTATAGCATAAGCTCTGGGGTGGCAGTGAAAGGTCTTTGCCGATATGAGGGAACGAGTTATCATGCTCGCTTCATATAAGACTCGAAAGCATTCCAGGATAGCAAAAGCAACAGCATCATCAACGACGACTTCTAACACTGGTTTCATAGATCTCTTGAGCAAGTTCAACTGCGTCCTCGAAGACATACGTCCGTCTCTAGCACAAGAAAAGCATCCAGACCAAACAAGTTACGCATCATCACTTCGCCCGTGGCGCCCGTCTATCGCCCTTCTAGCACTACAAGCCGTACGAAGAAGACGAAGACGATACGCCCGAAGCAGGAACAACCGCCTTCGCCCGCCATGTCCGGATACAGCGTAAGTCAAACTTAATCTGTTCGTCGTCACTT